AATGTTTTGATTGACTTTGAATTTGTTTGGATTTATGAATGGTTAGAAATTATCTATTTGGTGTGATTAAACTTATTCATTATTGCATCATTTACTTCATGATTAGATATATGACCAATTTTTCCATTTCACATTAATTATGAATATTAATTATGAAACTCATGGCTAACGTTTCTCTTGCTTGTGATCTTAGTAGGTTATATTATATATAATCAATTGGCTAAATGATTTCAAAACCTTGTTTAAATTCTTTAAAATATCTTTTTAATTTAACAAAAAGGGGGGAAAGTTTTTAAATGATAAATGGGAGAAGTGTTAAAGTAAGGGGGAGTAATTTCAAAACTTGATTTCAAAATCTTAAAATTACTAAAATGTTTTGTTATATCAAAAAGGGGGAGATTGTTGAAAACATTTTGATATTTCGATATAACAAATTAAGTTAAATGAATTTTAAGATTTTCCAAATGATTTTCTAAGTATATTCGATAGAATTATTCGAATATCAAAACATTACTCCAAATCTTTCAAAGATCATTTTTTATCCTTACTCAAAGTGTAAAATTAAGTTTTAATCTTAAAACAATTTCAAAATAAATTTACAAAGTATTTCGAACCATTTCAAAGCCAAAAATTCCAGATTGCTCAGAGGGAACCGATTCCCCCCTGAATGTTTTGGCTCCGAGAATTCCAGTATGCTCAGAGGGAACCGATTCCCCCCTTGTATAACGGTCGAAATATTTGAATTTTACACTTAGGGAATCGATTCCCCATATGGGGTACCGATTCCCCCCACGCTCCAAACTATTTTATTAATTGTTTTCACACTAAAACGGCTATATTATTTTCTCTAATCATCCCCAACATTCAGAAGTGATTCAAGATGTATTTAAGCAAGCTTAGAAGCCATTGATCAATAACAAGAAACATCAAGCAATTAGAATCAAGAGAGAATCAAAGAGAAAGCATCAAACCTCAAATTTGAGCATTTCAAGCCTATTTTTCATTCAATATTCATTTTGCTTTCAAGAACACTTATTGTGCTCAATTGTATTTATTCTTGAGTGTTCTTTCTTTGTTCTAGAATTGTGCAAACATATTTGCCTTGTGAGGTTTTTCTTGTAAGTTTGCAAATTTGTATTTCTCTTTGAGAAAAGAGTGTTCTCAAGAATTGGGGTATATTCTTGAGGGAGTTGTAAGGTTATCTCTTTGGCTTCAAAAGAAAGAATAAATTAGTGAATTTGTTGGAAAATCCTTAGTGTGGATAACTAAGGTAGTGGACGTAGACTTTGGTTGATAAAGTCGAACCACTCTAAATCGCTGTGCAATTTCTTTCAATTTTCTGCAAAAGCTTCCACTAAAATTTTTATTGCCAATTCACCCCCCTCTTGGCCGATTCAGTCAATCTATTAACTCAACAGTATGGAACAAGAGAAATGAGAATTTGCATAAAATAGTCCAATCAAAGTGTGAAGTGCAAACGAAATGACAAATGACGCATTTAAAATGAAGATTTGCAGGACCACAGAGTTCATAATTTTAAAAGGACATCATGCATACATCAATAGGCATATATAAATAGGAGCATGCTCATTCATTCATATTCATTGAAATGCTTTGAATTTTTTAACAGAAATTCAAGAGAGTCAATAATAATTAAGATTCACCGCAGAAGGAGGTGAACCAACATTTCCAATGGAGAGTTCATAATGAGAAGAACTCATCCGACAGAGGGAGAAGAAGTTCATAATGAGAAGAGCTTGTTCGACCTATCACTCGATTCATGGTATTTCAAATCAGTGATGTCTCGCTTGAGGGATCAATATTTCCAGTGAAGAGTTCATAATGAGAAGAACTCATCCGACAGAATGAGAAGAAGTTCATAATGAGAAGAGCTTGTTCGACCTATCACTCGATTCACGGCATTTCGAATCAGTGACACCTCACTTGAGGGATCAAGATTTCCAGTGAAGAGTTCATAATGAGAAGAACTCATCCGCCAGAATAAGAAGAAGTTCATAATGAGAAGAGCTTGTTCGACCTATCACTCGATTCATGGCATTTCGAATCAGTGACACCTTACTTGAGGGATTGACATTTCCAATGGAGAGTTCATAATGAGAAGAACTCATCCGACAGAGGGAGAAGAAGTTCATAATGAGAAGAGCTTGTTCGACTTATCACTCGATTCACGGCATTTCGAATCAGTGACACCTCGCTTGAGGGATTGACATTTCCAATTGAGAGTTCATAATGAGAAGAACTCATCCGATAGAGGGAGAAGAAGTTCATAATGAGAAGAGCTTGTTCGACCTATCACTCGATTCACGACATTTTGAATCAGTGACGCCTCGCTTGAGGGATTGGCATTTCTAATGGAGAGTTCATAATGAGAAGAATTCGTCCAACAAGGGAGAAGAAGTTCATAATGAGAAGAACTTGTTCAACCTCAGATCAACATTTCCAGAAGAACTCGCGACTTGAAGAGAAGAAATTGAGTCAAAAATGGCGTTATTTTATCTTTGCTTCATTCCTGTTTCATATCAATGAGCAAAGAGGGGCAGCTGTGAGCACCATTTTTTATTTTAATTAAAATTGATGCCCCTATGTGAATAACACCATTCCACTCACCCACTTACAAACAAACCCCACTCAAACTTTACCTAAATCATCACCAAAGTCAGCAAATCCAACAAATCTCACCTAACCCATCAACATCTTACCAAAACATAAGGAAAAAAAGAAAGGGACAAGGGGATTCGGTAAGGATGGCAACCATAAAGAAAGAGGAGGGGGATCCATGAAGAGGGGAGGCATTCACGAACAGGGGGAGAACATAAAAAAAACACTCATCAAGGAAAAAAAACAAAAACAAGAAGCAAGGGGATAGGACTTACAGTGGAGGTTCAAAGACATCGGGAAGCTATAAAGCCGGCCGTGGAAGCTCGAAAGTTACCGTGTTCTTCATTTCTTTTGAAGGTAATCTCTAGATCTACTTTTCTATGGTTGATTTTAGGTGAAACTAAGTAGAGATTCGGGTTGTGGGGAAAAATTGAATGATTTGAGGTCGGTTTTATTTTTCCGGCAACTGTGCTCCGCCGTTGAGCCTCCGGCCACCGTGGGAACCTTTCTGTGCTTGAGAGAATTGAGAGAATTCTCTGGAACTCTCTCTCTTTTATTTTGTGAGATGAGAAAATGAGGGAAGAATGAGAATAATAGCCCATTTTGGGTTTTAAATATACTGTACAAAATGACGTAGTTTTAACGAATGGGCAATCTGTAATTTCGCATGGGATATGCGCCAATAAGATCATTCTTAGTTTGTAATTTTCTATTATGGTCATTAGTATAACTTTTAACTTGAGCTACTATTTTAATTTATTTTACATTTTAATCCTATTTTTATATGTTACATATTATAGTAAATATTTGACATTGGTCACTATATGTTTAATTATTATATTATAGTCACTGATCGTATATTATATTTTATATTTAAATTTGATCTTAAAATTTATTATTCTTTTGTTTTTAGTCACCTAATTATTTAATTTGTTAGTCTTTGTTATTTCATGTTGTAAATTAGCATTTAAGTCATGTTAATATTTATATTAATTTGAATATATATATATATATATATATATATATATATATATATATATATATATATATATAACATTAATTTAAACTTATTTGATTTCGTTCTAAACCTATAAAGTAGTTTCAATTATATTTACTTAGTAAATTTATTTGTCATTAAAGCTTTAATGTTATTTAATTTATTATGTAAATCAATTTCTTTGTTATTTATTATATTTTCAAAATCTTGTGTATTCATAATAAATATTTTATTAACTTTTAGCAAACACCATTTTAATTGGTTTTGAAATCTTTGTTAACATTAAATATTAAATATATAATGGAATACAATAATGAAATTAAAAATGACGTGAGATTTCATTGTCCTTATTTTCAAAAGATTTTGCAAGTGGAGCTCCCATTATCATATAAAATTTTCTTTAAACAATTTAATTTTATGGGTCAAGGTGATGGAAAATTACTTTACGGTAGGTGTGTGTTTTATAAAATATATTGTATTATTTTATTAATTGTGTTGTTCTCACATTATATAGTGTTTAAAATTATGTTCTTATTTTCAAAAACTTTTGACTATCATGTGATTGAAAATGTCGTAGATTCTTATCCTATTTTTATATATAAAAAACTTTTGCAAGTGGAGCTCACATTATATATTGCTTAAAATTATGTTGTTCTCACATTATAAATTATATTAATTATTTTCAAATATTTTTTTACTTATTATTTTATTTCATCTTTAAGGATTAAAATATTATTATTATAAATATTTTATTATATTTTCTTAAAAACTTTATTATATTATTTCATGCAAAAATTGATATTTAAATTATATTCGATTCAAATTTTAAAAAAAATCATGGAGAATGAAATTTTCGAATTTGAATAAGAAATAGATGAAATAGCTTTCCTCGACGGAGGATTGTTAATGTCGAGATTTCTTTTCAAAATTAAATAATTTTTTCTAATTAATTAATTTTATTGAAGCAAATTAATCAATATTATATAAAAGGATCATATTTTAATTTTATATTCGATTCAGGGTTTCCACCAATACGACAACATGTAAACGACACAGTACTAATTTTGGGCGCTGTGGGGGTTCTAATCCTTCCCCACGCGTAACCGACTACCGAACCCATTTTAATCAAATCTTTGATAAACGCATACCAAATTTTATCTTAAAAAATAATTTTTCTTAAAATATTTTTAAAAGACGGTTTTAGGTATTCGACCTAACTAACCAAAGGTTGATGGCGACTCTATCCAAATTATTCCAAATCAATTCAAATCACTTCATTTTCCAAAATTAAAAATCGTAACTATTGTTTTTAAACAATTAAACTATTGTTTCCGTCAAAAACGGTTACGACACTGTTGTTTGATACCTTGTCTTGCTTCACTGGAGATGCTAAAACCTTTGTTGTGCACTGCTGCTGCTGTTGGATCGACTTGGACGTTTCATCATCAAAGGCATTGGCTGACTCCCTTGACCGTGCTGTGGTAATGTTATTTTTAATGATATATTCACCTCAGAATATTCCTTTTCTAGGAATTTCTTTGTCCAACTTGTAGCTTATCAGGCTTCTGATTTTTGTTTTATTTGTCTATATATATATTTTTAAATATTTGGTAGGGTCATGTTAACGTGTTTGTTTGGCTGCTCTCTTCCATAGTTGATTTCTTACTTCCGGTAAAATTTTCTTGCAGCATGATGATCCTTACTTTAATAAGTTGATTAGGATACTGGCAACTAGGTGTATGACACATGTAAAGTTAGCTGGGAAATCATTTAATTCTCAAGACGATTTTGGGTGAGGCATGTTTTTAAGTTTTAACTTTGTACTAATTTGCCTTGGATTTCAAATTAGGCTGTTTATTTCTGTAGTGGGGATCTAAGCCCTCCAGAATATCATCATTATGGGCTTGCAGCGCCCCTATATACTCATTTCACCTCTCCTATTAGGAGATATGCAGGTTTGTAAATAGCAATTTTGTTTCTTGCATTTCCATTTCTTGCTGATATATATTTTTGATGATACTATTGATCGAGCATGTAACATTTAACTCTCTCTGCAGATGTGACTGTGCACAGGTTGCTTGCTGCATCCCTAGGGATCGATAAGCTTCCGCCAGTTTTCCAAGACAAAGCTCAACTAACTAGTATTGCTGATAGTAAGTCTTGTGTTCTTTCATAGCATTTTTCAGGCTTTCTTGGATTCGGAAACAATCTCGACAATGCATTTTACCTGTTTCAGATCTGAATTACCGACATAGGAATGCCAAATGGCAAGCAGGGCCTCAGTGGAGCTCCATACTCTCATTTACTTCAGAAACCGGTACACGTCGTGGGGCTCTCCCATTCAGTTGAAACAGCCTTTGCATATACCATCATGAATAATTGCACATGTTCTGAACTTTTGTGTGTGCTGCAGTCCCACTGACACAGAAGCCAGGATAGTGAAGATAAGGTCCAACGGGTTCATTGTGTTCGTGCCCAAGTATGAAAGTTGAATTCCTTTTATGCTGGATTATGTATACGCTTCCCTCGTGTCTTTCATTTTCAATCTTTTACCATATTCGATATATGAGACGAAATACGATTTGCATCCAATCATTGCATGTCTTCCATTTTTATACTGCATACATTAAACAAAATAGTAATTTAAATATTTCTTAAATAAAATAAAAATATTTACGCCTTGAATTTGAATCATAACTCAAACATTCGGAACTATTTGTATTATTACGGAAAGAAATAATAGATATTTTTTGTTTGGTGTGACTTGCAATAAGGGGTTTATGTAGGGGTTGGAGAAGGAGAAAGGGTGGGAAAAGGAGAAACTGAGTGAACAAGAAAGGGAATGGGTGGGATTATTAAAAACTCAGTAAATGCGCGTTTTGTAGAAAACGTCTTTGCAGATTAGCATATGACGATTTCTACAAAACGTGTTTTCCAAATGGAGTGTCAGATCAACATGAGACGCTTCCAATAAAACATACTTTTGCTAAGTTGAATATTATAGGTCTAAAATCGCCCTACAAATTAACCAAAGACGTTGATTGAGGATACGTAAGCTAATTGCAAGTTAATACATGATAAAAGAAAATGGTCCCAGCTAGCCTAGCTGTTTTCTACTCAAACTTCGATCATGGATGCTGTTTATCGGATGTCGACTAAACGCTTTAATTACTCGTATGTACGTGTACATATATACTAGGATGCCCTAACAAGATGGCTGTGTTCTGTTTAGTTCACCCTATAGATATGGAACACCCTACATATACGATTCGATCGTATAAAATTGTAGATTTTTCTCATGATTTGTGTACTATATATATACACCGTAGGGCTAATGCATTGCATCTCTTCTTCTCCAAATAATGTCTGGTTTCATCGCCAATCTCCTGAAACCCAACCCGCAATGGATTGGCGGATTCGATAATCAATTATTAATCCCTTCCCATTATTATCTTCCTCTTTCGAGTTTGAAAAAAAAAAACCGTCAATCACGGAGGTTTTCCTTTAAAAAAAAAATCAAGGGTACATTTCACAACTTTTAATTTTTAAAAATCATACCTAAAGTTTAATTTTTGTTTCATTTAAGTATTCCGTTATTAAAAACTTTAGTTTTTGTTTTATTTAATTATCTTGTTCAAAATTTAACATTAAGTTTTGAAAATATTAAAAGTTTAGGTACTAAAATGAATCAAAACGATAGTTTAGGTACTAAACGCCTTAAGTTTTTAACGATATGTGTTAAAATGAAATGAAAACTAGACGTTAAGTATGATTTAAAAAAAAATAAAGTTTAAATACTAAAGTGAATCAATATTGATAGTTTAAGTATTAAATACGTAGTTTATCCAAAAATAAAACTTCTTCCTACATCACGCAATTTTCCTAAACCTTTGCCTAAAGGCAACTTTATTTCGCCCGAGCTCGGTGTCTCTAGTAGGGTATGATCGGATATTATTTTAAGATTTTTTAGACAGTGGATGATGATTTGGTTCAGTTTTCAATTATTGTTTTTGAGTTTTGATTTTTTTTTCACTTTAATTTTAATAATATATTATTATATAAACTTTCAAGGTTTTTCCATAAATAATTTTTAAAATAAATTAATTTTTATAGTTTTGATTAAGTAATTTTCACTATTTAAATATAACATGTTTATTTAATATTATGAAAATTATAAATTAAATAAAAATCTAATCTAATCTAATTAAAATAGTCACAGTTTTTTAAATTTATACATTATTCAAATATCGCAGCTTAATTATTTTAAAATTTCCAATTGAACTATTTTGAGATAAATTCTAACGACTTGTTTTTTTTATTCTGAAAAAAAAAACAGAATGAAGACTAAGATCGAAATTGATGTATCAAAAATAAATAAATCTTTAAAATTAAAATGTTCGGGACTTGAGAATATTTCATTTCTCAAAAATAAATTAATTTTGAATTTTTTTTTATTTTTTTTTCTAAAAAAATCAAGAGACAAAGAAAACTGATTTAATATCATATGTCATGTACTTGTAAAAAAAATTGATGATCGTTGTGAAAATAATTATGAAATGAAATATTAATGATTAATTTTAATTTTAAATGCTTATTTTACAATAGAATTTCTTTTAATTATAAGGATGTCTATTTTACAACTCGGATTTGATTTGAAATTTTTTCGAGTGGATTTTTTGAGTTTCTGTTTAAATTTAATTGTAAATATTTATAATATTATTTGATTCAAATTTAAGTGATTTTTTATAACCATATATACAATACAAATATATTTCTTCCTATATTTTTCCTATGTGATATACATATATCATACAAAGTCTAAGGACTCGAGTTAAACTTTAAAATAAATCTATTAATTACCAAAAATTTTGAATTATTTGAGTTTAGTCGAATTTTGTCACCCCTACACAATAAACCCTACATAATTTGTCGTCTACTTAATGAATTATGGTATTCCATTGGAAAGAAGAGTGCAACTAGCTAGGATTTAATCAATTGCCAACTTAGACGTCGCCATCTACCTTCACCAAATAAGCTTCTGTTATATTAACCATATATCATCTTTATCTTTACACAACACACTATATGTATTAATATGAATGTGATAATAGCTGACTTGTAAAACTGATGCATGCTTCCCTGTGTGGTTTGCTAGTAGAATATTATAATTTTATTCTCGACGACTTTGGAATTATTACGATATGTTTGTTGGAATGAAAAAAATAAAAAAATAAAAAATGAAATATGATGAATTTTAAGTACATTTAACAAAATAATTTGATGCACAATTAAATGAATTTGAAAAAATTTGACTTTAATAAAAATTATTATTATTTCTTAAGGTCTTAAGTTTAAACACCACGTAAACGTTCAATGTTAAATATTAAAGTTTTATTTAAAATTGTTAACTTTTTTAATTTCATTTAATGATTCAAGAGAAGTTATTTCGTCCATGTGTATGATTATTTAAAGTTGTTTTCTTTAAAAATTTCATTAAATTAAAAAAAATAATTTAGGCATCCAAAATCTTTTTAAAAAATAAATAGGTGTCCTCAAATTGAAGATTCATCACTGTTTTAAATAATATTGTCTTTTGTCATTATATCTAACAGCCATTCATTCTTTTGTTAACATTCACTTTTCAATTAAATTAAATTAAATTTTAATCTTGTCGTATAACAATTGTAGTGAAAATAGGAAAATTTTAACAGTAATAATATCTATCGTGGTCAACTATGATTAGAAGTAATGACATTCATAATTTATGATAACAAAAGTCAAAAGGTTGCAAGACTAATTCCAAGCTTTGAATCTATAAGCATGCTACATGGGGAAACAGTGATAGAGAAAGGTGACCAATAATAATAATAATAAAAGAAAGATTTAATTTTGTAATAAAGCCAATAATAAAAATTTTAAATAGTTCAAATAAAAAATATATAAATACTTTAAACATTTATTTTGTAATAAAGCCAGCTAACAAATGTTCCAAATGGGAACCCATGACCATATCCGAGCTCTTGCCCAAAAAAGTAGAACCGAGTTGGAAAGTAGGCGGGGGAGGCACGGCAGCAGTTGGCCCGCAGGGTTGATTCTTTTTTAGGGTAAATTATGTGTTTAATATCTAAACTATCAGTTTTAATATATTTTAGTATTAAATTTTTATTTTTTTTAAATTATATTTAATGTTTAGCTTTTGTTTCATTTTAGTATATTGTTATTAAAAACTTAACGCATTTGATACATAATCTATCAGTTTTAGTACCTAATTTTTTTTAAATTCAAAATTTAACATTAAATTTTGAATGGATATTAAAATAAAATAAAAACTAAACTTTAAATATAATTTAAAAAAAAATTAAATATTAAAACAGACTAAAAACTAATATTTTAGATATTAAATATATAATTTATCCTTGTTTATCACGAAGGAACAACATTTTCTCTATTTTAATAATTTCAATGCACAACTTGGCTTGACAAATCTCTACATTTGTACGTATCTCCTGCTAATAATTATCTTTAGTTGTGAAGTACTTGTGAACTCGAAACTGAAAATGTTAAAGAAACTGAACATTAAATATTCATTGAAAACAAGAAAAGAAAACATTAAAAATTTCGACTTTCACTGCCCCCCCATAATTTACTACGTCTAAAGTATCAATCAACAAAAATGGAACGATACTGCCTGGCTGGTTAAACCTAAATCATCTTAACGGTGTGTTTAGTTCACAGAATATAAAATTATCAGTGAAAATATAAGATTATCAGAGAATAAGATTACTGAGAATGTTGTACTTTGTGTTTGGTTGACTTAGCAAGAATGTAAGATTACCTTATTTAGTTAAAGAATAAAAGATTATTAGAATGTATATCTGACCAAATTGTCCTTATTATATATTTGTTTTTTTAACAAGTTGAAAAATATTTATATATTTTCTTTAAAATATTAAATTCATAAAATTTATATAGTTTTTTTATAAAATTAAAAATATAAAAAGTTTAATGAAAGGGTAAAATTTTATTTTAACCCTACATTTTATATAAAATCTTAATTATAGATTTTTTTTATAAATCTAAAATAGTTTAAGGATAAATTTATAATTTAACTTTGTAGAATTTTTATTATTCAATGACAGAAGAACAATATTTTTTAAAGAAAAAAAATTAAGAACATTTTAGTCCAAAACACCGATAATCCAACAATACTTAAGGAGAGAGAGGTAATGACATTATGATAATATATCTTAAAAATCTATATTATTTAATAACCTTTTTAACAACGGCAGCAGATATTACTGCCGCTACTGTTTTCTAAATTTCAGCAAACCCAAATTAATTCTGTCTCCAGTAAAGATTCCGTTCCTTTTGCCTCTGTCTTTGCCTTCTGGAAAAAAAGATATGAAGGGATTGTTGCTATGGTGCTGTTTCTGGGTTTTGTTAGTAATGGAGGGAGAAAGAGTAATGGGGGAAACCGCGAACTCAGGGGAGAGGAAGCTTGACCAGACGCCTACATGGGCGGTGGCCGGTGTTTGTGCTGTTATCATCGTCATTTCTATTACCTTGGAGAAGGTTCTTCATAAACTTGGAACGGTAACCCCTTTTTTCCCTTTTCTTTATCGAATTCTTACCTTTTTTAACTTTTTGGGTTGTTGAAATTAATTAACCTTATCATCATAATCTAATTTTTGTGGCATCCAGTGGTTCACAGAAAGACACAAGCGAGCTCTGTTTGAAGCTTTGGACAAGATTAAAGCTGGTAAGTCGAGGGTTTTACTTTATTTTTATGATTAACTAAATAGTTATGCATACTGCTTTCCCAGAAACTTGGTTGTACAAACAAGTTGCTTATGGTTCGATTCTATGAGATGCCACTGTTTTGTGCAATTAAATTTTTTGACTTTTAACATGATTATTGCAGAGCTGATGGTTCTGGGTTTTATTTCGCTGCTCCTCACTTTTAGCCAGAGCTATATTGCCAGAATCTGTATCCCTACAGATGTTGCGAATACCATGTTGCCTTGTAAAGCTGATGTCAAGGAGAAGGCCCCTGAAGACAGTGAAGAAGAACACCGTCGAAGACTCTTATGGTTCGACAGCAGAAGTTTGGTTACTATTTCAACGGCTTCTAAATGCAAGGAGGTGAGCCTAAGCCAGCATCTGTTATTGCCAAGCAGTATGGTTTTCTATTATTAATTCTTGGATTACAAACCAGTGAAGATATGTTTGAACATTTACAGTTTCAAATTAGTCTTATAGATACCATCTTGTTATGGTATTTCAAATTAAAGCTATATAGAAGCTGCTCTTGTTTACTTTTCTGGATTAACCTTCCTAATCACTTATTTTGTTCGTCGTAGGTTCAACTTTATAATTGCTTTTGGCATTATATAGGTTGAAACATAAATTTCTCTCTTCGTCGAACTGTAACTAACTGGGTTTTCTCTGCAGGGGCATGAACCGCTTATATCCGTCGAAGGGTTGCACGAGTTGCACATACTCATATTCTTCCTTGCTGTTTTCCATGTTTTATATAGTTTTGTTACTATGATGTTTGGGAGACTAAAGGTAATTAATTAAGTTTAGTCTTCTCAGTGTGTGTTGTACATGATCCTCTTTCTCAGCTCTACATTAGCTGCATTCTTAGGGATAAGTATATTCTTTTAAACTAAAGGGTGCTTTGAACAGATTCGTGGCTGGAAAAAGTGGGAGCAGGAAACTTTATCTCATGACTATGAGTTTACAAACGGTATGTTTTCCGCAAGTAACAGCTTCTAGTGCATTTTATAGCTTTAAATCTTCTACTGTCAATCTTGAACTTAATTTCCCAACTTTACATCTTGGTAACTAACTTAATCGTGGTTGATTTTTGCAGATCCCTCTCGATTCAGGCTTACTCATGAGACATCTTTTGTGAAAGCTCACACCAGCTTTTGGACCAGGATTCCCGTCTTCTTTTACATTGTAAGTAATGTTTTATGAAAAAAAGAATTTGCTTTGCTTGAGTAATGTTTAGTTCTCTTTGTGGTTTTTACTATGTATTTTAATGTGCTACCTTTCTAATTCAGTAATGACCTTCTTAGACGTTCGCTGCAGGGATGCTTCTTTCGACAATTTTTCAGGTCTGTTGGGAGGGTTGACTACTTGACATTGCGAAATGGATTTATCAACGTGAGTTTCTTTCAACTAAAATGCCAACAATATTTGATGTCGATTCATTCTTTTTTTCTTGACCATTTTGAACTTGTAGGTTCATTTAGCTCCCGGGAGTAAGTTTAACTTCCAAAAATATATCAAAAGATCATTAGAGGATGACTTCAAGATCGTTGTAGGAGTAAGGTACTAGTTGTATTACTGTCTTGTTCTGGACAACTTTCCTTGCTGTTAAATATGCCTGATCCTAGGTTTATCGTGTTTGCAGTCCATTGCTCTGGGCATCATTTGTGGTCTTCTTGCTGCTAAATGTCAAAGGTGAGCCACCTTTCTTGAGTGGATCTTCTCGGATTAAAATTTTTGCTACGGTGAGCTGAATTATTATTAGCTGAGTTCTTTACTAATCTTACACTCATGCTTTTTGCAGGGTGGCAAGCACTATTTTGGGCATCTCTAATTCCTGTGACTGTAAGCAAATTTCTTTATAGCAGTTTCTGTATGATTATAGTTGAAGATTTTGAAGTTCTAATTGTTTAATTTGATAACAGATAATCTTAGCTGTCGGGACAAAGCTTCAAGCCATTTTGACAAAGATGGCTCTCGAAATTACGGAAAGGCATGCCGTGGTCCAGGGAATGCCTCTTGTACAAGCCTCTGACAAATACTTTTGGCTTGGTCGACCCCAATTAGTTCTTCATCTGATACATTTTGCCTTATTTCTGGTATTCATTGTTTTCTACTTCGATTGATTCTTGGATATAACAATAGCTGCCTTTTAACAGAAAATGAACCAGTTCAATCCTTGCTATTTTCTATCCTAGATGTCTAGATTATTTCATATGATGAGCATCGATCTAACATCTATTGTTCTTCTTTTGGCAGAATGCATTCCAGATAACTTATTTCTTGTGGATCTTGGTAATCATCTTAGCTGTACTAACTTGCCTATTCGCGACTTTTTTCGTGCTCTTTTATTTGTTCTTCTCCTAACACGCTTTTTCATTATTTCCTCTCTGGAAGTCTTCTATAAGTAACATTCACTTTTTGTAATTCCTTGTGCAGTATTCCTTTGGGATGAATGCTTGCTTTCATGATGATCTCAGAATTGTCTTGGTAAAAATAGCTTTGGGGTAAGCTTAAGCTTTAGTGCCATCAGTTTAGTGTGGATAGTAATATCATGCACCACAGATGGAAATATGATTGATTGCCGGAATATGATGCTCGAACGTTTCTGGTGTTTTGCAGGGCCGGAGTTCTACTTTTGTGCAGCTACATCACCCTTCCGCTATATGCCCTAGTAACTCAGGTGCGATTTCCGTTTCCAATACCTTTCGATTACATCCACGAGTTCATAATGCTAGCATCGGATGCTTATAATGCCGGATACTTTTACAGATGGGTTCCCGCATGAAGAGGTCCATCTTCGACGAGCAAACATCCAAGGCCCTCAAGAATTGGCACATGGCTGCTAAAAAGAGACGAGGGAATGCAAGAAAGTCCCCCACTAGAACCCTGGGTGGAAGTGCAAGCCCGAGTTCAACACTTCATTCCCCTGGTCAATCACTTCATCGATTCAAAACTACTGGTCATTCAACTCGCTCGTCATATACCTATGACGATCCAGACTTGTCCGATCTCGAAACCGAACCATTGACACCTGCATCAACCGACAATTTAACAATAAGAGTGGACGACGATGAGCAAGCAACTGAAACGAGTGAAATCTACCATGTGGAAGCAAGAAATGAAGATGACTTCTCCTTCGCAAAGCCTGCCCCGGCGAAGGGACCATGAGATGTGCTGAATCGGTCTCGTGCCGGAGCAGGGAAGAGGGAAAAGGAGACTTTCCTTACAAGTAAACAAGAACAACGAGAGAAACCAAACCTATTGCGAGCCAACAATGTTTGTGTTGTAAGAATAGCTTGTAAATGCATGATGGCTACCAATAGTTATCGTGGTTTGTAAAGATAATATTTTATTAAACCAATTACTCATTTTTTTTTCATTCGACAAGGTCAAGGCTAAACTATTTTTATAATGCTTCAATAGTTGAGCGAAAAAAACTGCGGTTTTAACCCCTTTTATAGATTAATTATTAAATATAAACCCCTTTTATCTTTTAACACACACACACTCTAAAATTTTGTTGTTTTATTGCGGCCTTTCTCTCTAGTAGGTTAAATTCTAACTATATATATGGTTTATGAAATTTGTAATATGGTGAGAGATTTTTTGTTATAGTATCGCACAAGTCCCTGTACTAAGTGGTGTATTCTATTTTGGCCCCTCAACTAAAAAATGAGCGAATTAATCCTATAAAATTCATATTGAGCAAGTTGGTCACTCGATTTAAATTGTCATCCTCAAATGCTAAATTAGCGAAAAAGAGAAAAAGAAACACTTAATTACTGGATTTGTCCTCGTACTTGAAACTTTCTCGTAAGATGATATTTTTACATTTTGAATTCAAATTATTATTCGAACATCAACTTTGTCAACTATTCTAATACTATTATAATCAATAACTCTTACATTAAAAGAATATTTAATCTCTCCGTCAACAACACTTGTAAATAAAGATGAAAGTTTTAATTCAATTTTGTTCATATGTGCACGCATATTTCCTAACAGTGTGCAAAATCTAGAATGAAGAACAAAAGTTAGCTTTAAGCTTTGAATGAAACATGTATATCACAGACCAATACTGTTTAGGGTTTGGGGGAGAGAAAAGAATTAGTTAATAGTAATGGAAAAGCCGAAGTGCGGTTGGATTGAAAACTATACTTATAATATAAGAGGGCCTAGTTGGATTAAGTTGAAATCGTTTGGTTCGAATAGAAAATCCATTAACCATTAAAAAAAATAAAAGTAAAACAGAATTAAATCGAACCATGGGGAGTAGTGGTAGTATACAGACCAAATGCTAGGGTAAACTAGGGGGAGCCTCCAAATATTTAAAGAGATTAAATAACAATTAAATGTTATATCAATTTTTAATCTTGGGTAAACTACATGTTTAATATATAAACTATCATTTTTGTTTTCCTAAATTTTTGTTTGTTTCAAAATTATACCTAATATTTATTTTTTATTTTGTTTTGGTGTCTTTTTGTTAAATGCTTAGTGGAACAAGCATGACATTTTTACCTATAGAAATGTCATGGTACTAAAACGAAATAAAGCAAATAATTTATGAACTAAATGTTAGGGCTGTAAAAGCTGACCCGACCTGCAAAACTGACTGAAACCGACTCGAGTCAAAATTGTTTTTGACAAGTACTGTGGAGATCCGAAACCGACTCGAGTCGGAATTGGTGTTGACATGAACCCGATTTGGATTTGGAAATTGTGGATTCGAACCCGACCTGAGAACGATATGAACCCGAATTGAACCGAAAATATGATACCCGAACCCGAACTGCATCCGACTGATATGAACCTGAACCAGAGATTGACATGGTAAATAACTGGTATTACCCGACCTGTTTTCAACCTGACTTGTTTTCAACCTGACATGTTTTTAACCTGACCTGCTTTTAACCTGACCTGTAAATGATCCGACTTGTTAATGACCTGATCTGATATTTACCTGACTTATATATTACCATGAAAATCTTAAAAATTATCAATTTTTTAGCTTATGATGTAATTAAAATATTAATATGATTACTTTTTAAATGTTATAATAAAATATTTATTATGATACTTATATTAATAAATAGACTATTATATAAAATTATTTAATAAAATTAATAAAATTATTTAAATGTAAATTAGATAAAACATTATTAATAATGAAAAGGAAAATTAATATAGTTTAATTTATATAAATTATATAGTTTAATTTATATAAAGAAAAAATAATATTAATAATAAAAGTATTTATTATGTAACATATATTAATGGTTTACATTAATAATATGAATAATTTTGGCAATAAAATAATAATTAAATTGATAATAATTGAATGTTAGTATTAAACGTGATTAATTCTCTAAAATATAAATATAAACTATACCGTTTAGTTTTTGTGCAAAAAATTATCTAACAATTATAAATAAATGAAAATAATATAAAATATAAATTTAATTGATAATGATAATTTAAATAACATTTAATATAAAATTTGAATAACATTTAAGTCAATTCAAGTTCAATACAATAAAATGAAAAAAAATTAAAAAAATTTAAGCTCTCAGATCTTATAACAAAAATGTTATAAGGCTAAAAGCTTAACTTTGCTACCAGAAATTTCTTCATCGAGCTTTTAGATCGAAATAGCTGCCAACATTGTTAAATTACGGGCAACTTTTAAAGCTACCAACATAATTTAACATGAGTAGCTATCTCGAAAAAAATTACAGTTTGAACAATCTATTTAAGTCAGACCAACAAAATAAAATACAAGGCAACAACAGGAAGCAAGCAGCAGGCAGAAGCAAGCAGCAGCAGCAACAGAAGGCAGATTTTTTACATTAAACAAACATTTAATCAGTGGTAAAGCCAAATGAATGTGATGACCAACCGTGCCAAATATTTCCAACTTTACCAAACCCTTACATAATAAAACATTCAACATTGTTTATGAAAATAAAATTAATATCAAGCAAAATCAGAATGTGTTACTTTAGATAGAAGCATCCTACAAAAAAAATAAAAGCATCAATTAAAATTTGTTTCATATAAACATAATAAACACAATAAGTAATTAATAAGTAAAAGTTACCTGTAACAAAAGAAACAAGACTAAATTGTAAATTCCAATGGCTTCACTTAACGTTTACACCCTAAAAAATTAAAATTAAAATAATTAATAAACAATTTGAAATATTGAGATTAAAATAAAATATAAAGTAATTATATCATACATTTACATAGCAGAGTTATTAACCACATTAAGGTAATCTTCATCCTTATCCTCCGGCTCAAAACCATACAACTAATTACAGGGTTATAACAAAAATCTCAACATTTTTTGGTAAGAGTGAAACTCTTAATTTGGTCAAAATTCTACCCCCATACTAAAGGACGATTTAGATGCAACTGAAGTAATTGGAATAGCCAATATATCTCTAGCCACGCGAGAAAGTACAGGATATGAAACAAGTTGATTTTTCCAATACTCCAAAAAATCAAAGTTTGATTCTCCAATACGAGGGACAAGGGGCAAACTAATGTACGAGTCAACATCAGATCGTCCACTCCTTGAAGCATCTAAATTAGCATCAAAATTCTGAAAAACAAAAGACAAGAAATTAGTAAATAAAAACAGGAAATAAATAAGTTAAAATTCAACTAGAAATTATATTAACTAACCTGAAATAAATTTGATTTTCTAAATGTTCGAGGCCGATTGGAACTTGAGCCACTTCTGTCCAAGGTTGTGTTACTTTGGACATAAGAATAAGAAGAAGAAACACAAGGTGTATTTTTTTTTGAATAAAATACATATAACTCAAGAAACTCGTCATAAATGAGACTTACCCTCCGTTGAACCTCATCCTCAACATAAACATTGTAAAACTCCTTAATTGTAATTTATATCGAGGATCAAGTAAAACAACAAAGAAAGAATCATAGAGTGATCAGACCAATATTTCTCATAAAGTTCAAGCATGGGTCATGCCATTGCAGAATACTTCAGAAGGATCATTATGACATCACAACAATTTCTCAATGCAACAACGTTAGCCAAATACAAATTTGAAGTGGGCACACACCTTATATGGAGTACTTACCATTGCAAGGAAGAGAGAAATGACATTCAAATCATCTTCAATCTCTTAACCATTTTATCATTTGCAGAAGCATGATCATGTATGGTAAATGCTTTTTTTCAAGACCCATTCACATATCATCTTTTTCAAAAACTTAAAGATAGACTCAGCATCATGAGGAGGAGGAAAACGACAAAAATTAAGTATTTTAGATTGAAGTTTCCAGTTATTATCAACATAATGAGCAGTAAGGGCAAATAAACGTGAAGTGCAAGCAGAGCAAGCATCACATGTAAAACAAACACGACTTGAGAGACAGAATGCATTGAATCAAGCAGTAATTTTTTTTTGCTTTTCATGCTGCAACATGCAATACTTAGTAACAATATCTAGATATTTCCTTAACAGAAGAATTAAAGTAATGATGTAAATCCCCTAAGTTTGTCATGCTCATTATACTATATGCATAACCATGACACAGAATAGCCTCAACAAACAATTCACAATATTGTTTTGATCAAAAGAAGCTACACTATCTGGATTTTTCAGAAAGAAATCCTCATATGCTTGGCATTTCTCAGTATGACTTTTAGGGTTAGATGTACCAATATGAGAATCACTTTATCCTTTTCAATTTGTAATACTTACACTCCGGCATAATAGAACCATCATCAGCTTTGGTGAATGTGTATGGTCCCAAACAGAAGAGGTTCTTCTCTAAATTCGAATGAACCAGTGGCTCTCCTCTAAGAGGATTTATTTAAATCAACTGCTTCGAATGCACATCATTTATATCCCTTGCAAAAAAATTAGGGTTAGCAACCAACCTTATAAAAGCAATTCGAATGAACAACCAACAGTAACAACAAATTAAATAGTTTATTTAAACTGTAAATAAAGGCAACTAACAACCTTATAAAAGCAATCCGAATGAACAACAACAACACAAACAAATCAACAGTAGCAACAAATTGAACAGTTTATTTTAAACTATAATAAAGGTAGCTAACAACCTTATAGAAGTAATCCGAATGAAAAACCAACACAAACAAATCAACAGTAGCTACAAATTAAACAGTTTATTTAAACTGTAAATAAAGGCAGCTAACAACCTTATAAAAGCAATTTGAATGAACAACCAACACATAAACAAATCAACAGTACTACAAATTAAACAGTTGAGTTTACCTCTTTCAATGCCCTTCATTCTGATTTGTTGGGTTTTCTCCTACAAAAGAAATGAATAATAAATTAATAAACAATATTAAAATCAAAAC